CGTCGAAAATTTTTGTCCCATTACTTGATATCTGAATGTTTTTTTTTTGCAACTTTTGGCAGATGCGATCTCGAAGTATATACAAACATGTTTGATGGTTGGATCGTTAAAACTAATTTCGTAGAATGCGTATCCCATCAAAACAATAGATTCACTAACACTTAAGAGTTTATTCATACTTTCATTAAGTATAACATAAGATTTTGTGGTACCACTAGTGTAAATATTTTAAATTGAAGATCGAGTTCATTCATTATATTCATACATGGTCAAGGAGTGTAGCTGTAAAAAATCATCAAATTCAGAGTTAAAATAACCGTTAAATTGTGATTTTTCGTTGATAACCGTCGAAAAGTTTTGTCCCGTTACTTAATCTCTGAATGTTTGTTTTTTGTGATTTTTAGCGTATGCGATCTCGAAGCATATACAAACAAGTTTGACGGTTGGATCGTTGAAATTAGTTTCCTAGAATGCGTATCCCATCAAAACAATAGATTCGTTAACACTTAAGAGTTGATTCATACTTTCATTAAGTATAACATAAGATTTTGTGGTCCACTAGTGTAAATATTTTAAATTGAAGATTGAGTTCATTCATTGTATTCATATAGGGTCAAGGAGTGTAGCTGTAAAAAATCATCAAAATCGGAATTAAAATAATCGTAAATTGTGATTTTTTGTTGATAACCGTCGAAACGTTTTGTCCCGTTACTTGATCTCTGAATGTTTGTTTTTTGCAATTTTTGGCGTATGTGATCTTGAAGTATATACAAACATATTTGACGGTTGGATTGTTGAAACTAGTTTTGTAGAATATGTATCCCATCAAAACAATAGGTTCACTAACACTTAAAAGTTTATTCATACTTTCATTAAGTATAACATAAAATTTTGTGGTATCCACTAGTGTAAATATTTTAAATTGAAGATCGAGTTCATTCATTGTATTTGTATAGGGTCAAGGAGTGTAGCTGTAAAAAAAATCATCAAAATCCAAGTTAAAATAACCGTTAAATTGTAATTTTTTGTTGATAACCGTCGAAAAGTTTTGTCTTGTTACTTGATCTTTGAATGTTTTTTTTTTTTACAATTTTTAGCGTATGCGATCTTGAAGCTTATACAAACAAGTTTAACGGTTGGATCGTTGAAATTAGTTTCATAGAATGCATATCCCATCAAAACGATAGATTCACTCACACTTAAGAGTTTATTCATAACACTAGTGTAAATATCTTAAATTGAAGATTGAATTCATTCATTGTATTCATATAGGGTCAAGGAGTGTAGCTGTAAAAAATCATCAAAATCGAAGTTAAAATAACCGTTAAATCGTGATTTTTCGTTGATAACCGTCGAAAATAAGAGTCTAATAAACAAACATTTATACACTACTAGTCTATTACAAAATATTAAATGTGCAAGGATATGCAAAATGAAAGAGTTTTTGTTTTCAAGGTTGTGAAGCCTTTCTCAAATGTTTAAACCTTACCAATGGAACTCAAAGCTTGCATGTTATTCCTTTTACAAAATCCTCAATTTTCATCGATCATCATGACATAAGATTTTGTGATATCTACTAGTGTAAATATTTTAAATTGAAGATTGAATTCATTCATTGTACTCATATAGGGGCAAGGAGTGTAGCTATAAAAAATCATCAAAATCGGAGTTAAAATAACCATTAAATCGTGATTTTTCGTTGATAACCGTCGAAAAATTTTTGTCCCATTACTTGATATCTGAATGTTTTTTTTTTTTTGCAACTTTTGGCAGATGCGATCTCGAAGTATATACAAACATGTTTGATGGTTGGATCGTTAAAACTAATTTCGTAGAATGCGTATCCCATCAAAACAATAGATTCACTAACACTTAAGAGTTTATTCATACTTTCATTAAGTATAACATAAGATTTTGTGGTACCACTAGTGTAAATATTTTAAATTGAAGATCGAGTTCATTCATTATATTCATACATGGTCAAGGAGTGTAGCTGTAAAAAATCATCAAATTCAGAGTTAAAATAACCGTTAAATTGTGATTTTTCGTTGATAACCGTCGAAAAGTTTTGTCCCGTTACTTAATCTCTGAATGTTTGTTTTTTGTGATTTTTAGCGTATGCGATCTCGAAGCATATACAAACAAGTTTGACGGTTGGATCGTTGAAATTAGTTTCCTAGAATGCGTATCCCATCAAAACAATAGATTCGTTAACACTTAAGAGTTGATTCATACTTTCATTAAGTATAACATAAGATTTTTGTGGTCCACTAGTGTAAATATTTTAAATTGAAGATTGAGTTCATTCATTGTATTCATATAGGGTCAAGGAGTGTAGCTGTAAAAAATCATCTCAAAATCGGAATTAAAATAATCGTAAATTGTGATTTTTTGTTGATAACCGTCGAAACGTTTTGTCCCGTTACTTGATCTCTGAATGTTTGTTTTTTGCAATTTTTGGCGTATGTGATCTTGAAGTATATACAAACATATTTGACGGTTGGATTGTTGAAACTAGTTTTGTAGAATATGTATCCCATCAAAACAATAGGTTCACTAACACTTAAAAGTTTATTCATACTTTCATTAAGTATAACATAAAATTTTGTGGTATCCACTAGTGTAAATATTTTAAATTGAAGATCGAGTTCATTCATTGTATTTGTATAGGGTCAAGGAGTGTAGCTGTAAAAAAATCATCAAAATCCAAGTTAAAATAACCGTTAAATTGTAATTTTTTGTTGATAACCGTCGAAAAGTTTTGTCTTGTTACTTGATCTTTGAATGTTTTTTTTTTTTACAATTTTTAGCGTATGCGATCTTGAAGCTTATACAAACAAGTTTAACGGTTGGATCGTTGAAATTAGTTTCATAGAATGCATATCCCATCAAAACGATAGATTCACTCACACTTAAGAGTTTATTCATAACACTAGTGTAAATATCTTAAATTGAAGATTGAATTCATTCATTGTATTCATATAGGGTCAAGGAGTGTAGCTGTAAAAAATCATCAAAATCGAAGTTAAAATAACCGTTAAATCGTGATTTTTCGTTGATAACCGTCGAAATTTTTTGTCCCGTTACTTGATCTCTGAATGTTTGATTTTTGTGATTTTTGGCCTATGCGATCTTAAAGCATTTACAAACAAGTTTGACGGTTGAATCGTTGAAATTAGTTTCGTATAATGCGTATCCCATCAAAACGATAGATTCACTAACACTTAAAGTCTATTTATACTTTCATTAAGTATAACATAAGATTTTGTGGTATCTACTAGTGTAAATATTTTAAATTGAAGATCAAATTCATTCATTATATTCATATAGGATCAAGGAGTGTAGCTGTAAAAAATCATCAAAATCGAAGTTAGAATAACCGTTAAATCTTGATTTTTCGTTTATAACCGTAAAAAAGTTTTGTCCTGTTACTTGATCTCTGAATGTTTGTTTTTTGTAATTTTTGGCGTATGCGATCTCAAAGTATATACAAACATGTTTAAATGTTGGATCGTTGAAACTAGTTTCGTATAATGCGTATCTCATTAACACTTAATAGTTTATTCATACTTTTATTAAGTATAACATAAAATTTTATAGTATCCACTAGTGTAAATATTTTAAATTGAAGATCGAGTTCATTCATTGTATTCATATAGGGTCAAGGAGTGTAGCTGTAAAAAATTATCAAAATCGGAGTTAAAATAACCGTTAAATTGTGATTTTTCGTTGATAACCGTCGAAAAGTTTTGTCCTGTTACTTGATCTTTGAATGTTTTGTTTTTGCGATTTTTTGCTGATGTTATCTCCGAAGCATATACAAACAAGTTTGACGGTTGGATCGTTGAAATTAGTTTTGTAGAATTCGTATCCCATCAAGTTCAATGATATATATATATATATATATATATATTTATTAAGTAGATTTAAATTTATTTATTTTGTACGTATAACACTTAAGAAATTGAATGATATGTATATTTAATTTAATATAAATATAAATATATATTTAATATTTAATTTAATATATATATATATATAATTATTATAGTTTTTAGGGGTATAAAATTGTTAAATTAATATATACTAGCATTTGCCTACACACTTTGTGTATATGAATTTTTTAGAAAATGAGAAGGAGAGAGAGAGAGAGAGAGAGAGAGAGAGAGAGAGAGAGATCGTGGGGGAGTGGGAGATTTTTGGTTTTTTTTTTAAATATTAGAGATATTTTAACATCATCTGTAGGTGAGACGTCAATAAAAAAAGTAAAATTTAAACTTGTGAAATTACATTATTGCCCATCATTTTTTTGTGTGATAGAGACTAAATTGTCTTTTCACCCTCTTTTGGTTGACAAAAAGGGTTTTATTAATTAGCTAGAGATACTAGCATTTGCTCACACACTTTGTGTGTATGAATACATTTTTTTAGAAAATGAGAAGGGGAGAGAGAGAGAGAGAGAGAGAGAGAACGTGGGGGAGTGGGAGATTTTTGGTTTTTTTTTTAAATTTTATTTTTAATTTTAAATATTAAAGATATTTTAACATCATTTGTAGGTGAGATTTCAATAAAAAACAGTAAAATTTAGACTTGTGAAATTATATTATTGCCCATCATTTGTTTTGTGTGATAGAAGACTAAATTGTCTTTTCACCATCTTTTGGTTGACACAGAGGGTTTTATTAATTAGTAGAGATAATTATTATAGTATTTTTTTAGGGTTATAAAATTATAAAATTAATATTTTGCTTATCGTATATTGTGTTATTCATGTGTATATCCGAATCAACCCGTTATCTTAACATGTGTTTATTAGGTTACCCAATAACGACCTGATTCGTTTTTGTGTCGACCCGAACACTTATTAATTTAGTATTGTGTCGTGTCAGATTATTGAGTCGTGTTAAAAATTGCTAAACCTAACGCAGACCAACCCAGTCCAACCCAACCCAATCCAGGTCCATCTACTTCATCCGGACGATCCCAATAATTGCCGCGAAGATATAAAACCGGATAAAGCTCAAGGCACAAAAGGTCAGAAGCTACAGAGTCACTCATAAAGCTGATCAACATCAAAATCCTTGACCCGTGGCATGACAAAGAATGAAGAGAAAATTCACCAAAAAGAAGAAATGAAGCTGAAAGTATACGTCGATAGATTGTCACAACCATCTCGTGCAATTTTAATCTTCCTCAAGTAATCTATACTTTCCTTTTTTTCTCTTGTTTCCAAATTTTAAGGTTTTTGTTGTTATTTCTATAATTAGATTGACAAATTTCCTAGTTTTTGAATCTGGGTTGTTGTTTTTGCGGTCTGATTTTTTACACCTTTCTTTTTTCCGTGTTGTGAAAGGGTAAATGGAATAGAGTTCGAGGAGATTAAGATGGACATATCCAAACGTCAACACTTGTCTCCTGAATTCAAAAGTATGTCTACATATGTTAATTTCGATTCAATTCAGGTTTATGTTTGGTGATCAGTGAATTTATTTTGTTTTTTCTATTTTCTGGACTAATAAATTGGTTATAAACTTATTTGGGTAAGTTTTTTCTTTTGGATGGAGATGATATTCTAATCTAATCTAAACTACGGGGATGGGGATTCGAACTTGGGTGCAGACGGGGTACGTGCCCTTAGTCGACTTGGCTACGTTTAAGTCCGCAAACTTATTTGGGACCCAATAGTTTTGAACTGATGTTTCTTATTGAATGATAACCATGTTGGTGAAAAATGGAAAAACAAGTACTTGTGGGACGTATATGACTTTCGAGTGTCCTCTCAGAGAAATCACTCAAGAAGATCATTGAATGATCGGGGTTAATTCGCAAGTGATGAAACAATATGTTTTAATCTTTTTACCATCATGTTTTTTATATTGCTAATGTGGTGTCCCACTGAAGCTTACAAGAAAAAGAGAGAAGGATTCTATGCTGGATGAGTGGGATGGTATCTGCTGAATGGCTCATGGTTTTTTGTTTTTTGTTTTGTTTTTTTTATATGATATGTAGAAATAAACCCTATGGGACAAGTTCCTGCTATTGCTGATGGGAGATTTAATCTCTTTGAAAGGTAATTAATTATATTTCGTGTTTTGTACACTGTAGTAACTATTTTAGGTTTTCTCTATTCAGTTTATTCATCCGTTCCTTCTTTTTGTCAGTCATGCAATTCTTGTTTATCTTGCTTGTGCATTTCCTGGAGTAGCAGATCATTGGTAAGTCTTGTTGCTTCCTTGTTGCCGTGAATTCTTTTGACATAAATGGCATGGGTTTGGTTATGTAATTTGGATATGGACATGCTCAATACTTTGCCTTGTGAGTTTGTATTCAATTTATTTTGATGAATTACAATACATACTGCTCTTAGACAAATGGAACTTACATTTTCTCGCACTTCAGATCATCTCTGAAGATCCAAAGAAAAGGAAGCACAAATAAAAGTCGTTTTTTTTGGAATTTCTTATTGTTTTCTTGTCAAAGTTCAGAATTTCTAATAATGTAGAGCAGAATTATAATTATGGCCAACAAAAGTTAGCAATGCAAGCTTGGTAATTATGATATTTTAGTTACTTTATCAATTATTAAGGACACACTTACATTAAACCAAAATATCATTTTCCAAGGAAATATCGTGGCATCTGGGTTCATGCAGCTTCTGTTTCAAAAGTGTTTCATACTCTCAAATGGTTTATCATTTTTATCTATAGTTCTGTAAATAACCTTTCCTTTTTGTGCTTTCAGGTATCCAGCTGACCTTTTCAGGAGAGCTAAAATCAACTCAGTATTGGATTGGCATCACTCTAACTTACGCCGTGGCGCAGGTCTCTATACTTGTCTACCAAATTATGCTTCTGATTTCTTTAGTCTGGTCGCATTTGATTCTGCTTTCTCCTTGCAGCTTGCAGTAAGAAAAGTTGTTAATAACTGTATATAGATGATTCTATTCTTCAGCGATTTAACTTCTTTCTATCTGATGAGCTGTTGCTAGGGAGATTTATTATATACCTATACAGTTATACATAAAAGAACCTATGTGTTATACATAAAAGAACCTATGTGCAGTGAGCCAGTGACTCAGGTAGAAATTTGTGAGTTTGAATTCAGTGATATATGACTGGTTAGTTTCAGGCCCCAGAAGAGAAAAAAGCCTCAATTGTATAGTCTTTGTCAGTGGTATTTGGTTCTCATTGTTGAAAATATATGCACAAAATGTGGAAAGAAATAAGAATAATAATGATAATCATTTAGATTCAGCCATCCGCGAGTACCTGTACCTCGTTTTCTGTTAAACAGATTTGTATGTATTATTTTTCAACTTGCAGATGCACTACTTTCAGCCAGTTCAAATCTCAACGTATTTACTTTGTTGTTATTAAAGTGTTTGTTTAAATCACATACATTCTTCCTATGGCAGTGATAGATATGTAGTTATGGTTCATGCTGCATTAGATTGCATTTTTCATTGGCTATTGAATTTTCACATACATACATCTGTCTTCAGTAGCGAGCAATATACCGTTGACACAATATAATTTTTGGTTATTCTTTGTTGTCATGTCGCCCTCAACAAGATACATATTTGAACAGTAAAGTACTTGCTTTGGTTTCCCCTTGTCTTATTTATTTTCCTTTGATGCATCTCTTTCAGCACCATACGTTCTAAATACTGTACTTGCACCCGTGCTTGGACTTCCATTGAATCCACAAGCAGCTGCTGAAGCTGAGAAACTTTTGTCCTCCTCTTTGTCAAAAATAGAGTCGATTTGGCTCCAAGGTAATGGAAAATTCTTGGTGGGTGGCCTCAAACCATCCATAGCAGATCTCAGCATGGTTTGTGAAATCATGCAACTTGAGGTAAATAGATGCGACTCATGCTTATAAATGTTGCTTTATGGGTCAATTTCATTTAAATAATTGGAATGGGTTTGTGGGTTCGGAAGGATTTTCTTCAACTTGTCATGTATAATGAACCAAATTCTACTGATGAAGTAAATAGGTAAAAAGTAGTACACGATGAGAGATGACGTATTAAAATTTACAGTTGATTGAAGCAATGGTTTCTTGGTGTGTTAATTATTTATGAAAAGTGGTAAAAAACGCGTCATCCTTCCACCTTTGACGTGTTCTTAGTCTGCTAAATTTTGAATGTTGCTCTATTTCTAGCTTACTATCTAGAAGGGAATCTATCAAGTCATTCTCCTTATATATTCAAGATTTCTATTGGCTTGAGATAAATAAAACCATACTTTTGTTGTCTACTGGATTTGTTCCGTTCTATTGATGTTTTGTGACATCATGGGAATGATGTAATCTACTGAGCTAAACTGGCCATAGAAATTAGATACAGAAAATTATATAGGCAGTGCCTGTACCAACATCGTAAATTTATTGGGGAAACATTCAACTCTGCAAGTTTGAAATAACCTTACTCCACTCTATCGATGTTAGATTAACCAGTTGTGGTTCTGTCTGAAGATAGGATGAGCCCCTATGTGATCTCTACCGGATTTTTACTTTGGTTGTGGAAGAGGATCTATTGGTCCGGTCATTCTCTGTAGTAAAAGATTATACATTATAAAGAAAACAGCCTTCATTTGCGGATGACATCACGTGATATCTTAACGCTTCATTCTGTCTGTAGCTTGTAGATGAGAAGGACCGCAATCGTATACTTGGCCCGCACAAGAGAGTTCTACAGTGGATTGAGGATACTAAAAATGCGACCAGACCTCACTTCGATGAAGTACATGAAGTTCTCTTCAGGGCCAAAACAAGATTTCAAGAGCGGCGGTTGATGGGAGCAAGCAACAAGACCGATTCCAGCGATAGAGCAGCTGTGCGTTCAAAGATGTGATGTGATGTGAGAATCCATATATGTGATTCGAAGTGCTGTTAGAATAAGAATAATGGCCTTTTCGCGTGACTTGAGCCTGGCCGGCAACGTTAAATGTCAATGTATACTTTGACATGTGCAATGTTTTACTTCACTATCAAGTTAATAAGGGCTTGTTTGGTATTGTTGGAACTTCCGTTGAGCAATCTTCTGAACGTTTGCATGTCTTCTTGTATCGTGACAACTCTGTAACGTAAACAAATGGTCTACTCTCTTTCACTCTCCTTATCACAACTCTATTCAATGGGGCTAGAATGGTTATTTTTGTGTATTGAGTGTGAAAGTGGGGATCCTTGTTATATAGTAAAAGAGGTGAAATCTGAGTAGGGAACTTCCCATCATGTAATCCTACTCGAACAAGACTTTATCACCTAAACTTTAGATTCATATCTGATTAGGTATCACAATTGTTTTAGCTATAAAATCCTTATAACACACTCCTCTTATTAGTGTATAAGTAATATTGAAATCAATCTCTATAATCCTTAGTCTATATGAGATGTTACAACATACAAGTGTGCAACTCTAATATAGTCTTACATGGTAAACGTTTTTGGAAAAAGTGCTTTTAACAAAATTAAAAAAAAAGAGTATAGCATCCGAGTGTTTTGTAAACTTTTATATAAATTGATGTAAATGTGTTAAATGACTAAGGGCAATATGATAGTGTTTGGGCCCAATTTTACCCTATCAGCCCAAGTGATCAAGGCCATTAAATGAACAAAATTTTAAACCGTTGGATGATAAAGTGGTTGAAATAATTTTTAATTATTATTGAGAAATAATATTGTGATAATCATGATATTATCTCTTAATAATATATTAAATTATTTTAAACCTAATATTTATCTAAATCACAATTGAAGAACGTATGGGATATTGGGATATGCGTGACATCAGATAGTGAAGCATGCAAATGATAGTCATAGAACTGCAAATGGACTAATGCATGCACGGATGGAGAAGCCTAGGTAGGCTTGGCTTTTGGTAGTGATGTGATAAGCCTAGGATTTGATGGTGGAGAGAGAAGCCTAGGTAAGCTAGGTCTTTGGTCATGATGGGATAAGCCTAGATAGTTTTTATATTTTGTTTGAAAAGTCAGCCAGCCTATGCCACGGATCAGATTTCATTCTGCGAGGTAGAGTTGCAGTCAGACTTTGCAACATTATATGACCGTGCAAGCCAAGTACTTCAGTCTTATAAATACAGATGCAATGGCAACGGAAAGGCCCCTCCAATTCAACACACAACTGCCCTGCGCAAACTCTCTCAACAACGTTGAGATTTTTATTTTCTCTTTTCGCTGACACATCTTCCGTTGGCATCAACAGCACTGTGAAAGCAACCGGTGATATCTTCAGTCGGCATAGATAGCTCTGTCACCGTAGAATCAGCCGATCTCGTAACATCTTCCGTTGGCATCAACAGCACTGCGGCGATGACGGTTGGTTACCTATCCAAGTCTCGGTCGAGAAGGGTTTCCAAAGCCTTATTGATTGAGGTCATTTCGTTAGCCTTCTTGGCGAAGCGATGTTACAGCTTACTGAGCCCGGCGCATTGCACGCTGAGTTATTTTATGATTGGATACTCTCAAGTAGGATTTAGAGTTCGGCATTCAGATGGCCGAACCACGTTCATTATTAAGACTCACATTTGCTTTGAGTATTTGTGCCCTTACACTTTGGTGTCGATTCGGCGTGAGTTTACTCTGACGAATACCATCACTGTGACCGAATCCAACGACGACGATTCGTGAACTTCGTAAGAATAGTAGCCTTGTCTTCAGGTTCGAGAACCCAAGAGGCCGAGACGTGTTCCTTCCTCGGTCGCAATCGCAAGACGCAGAAGTCAGTCGCGCACCCAACGCAACATCAACAAATTTACTCCTCGGCCGAGCTTGGCCGACTAGTTGGCACGCCCCACATTCACTGAAGGACGTAGTTAGCTTATAGATTACTGGGCCTGCGCGCCACGTAGGCTTGGTAGTTTTTGGGGTCAACAGATAGTTAAAGTGATATAATAATGGGGCTTTTAGATCCAGGTCAAAAAACATAGAGTATTTTTAGGAATGACTCCAGTTATTTAATTATATGTTTTTATTTCTTTTATACTGCTTTTATATTTTCTAAAAATATTAAAAATCAATTAAAATCTTTTAATATTATGCATTTTTCAACTCCAAAATATCTAATTAATATCTTATAAACAAAAAAAAAATTAATATACTAACATAAATCTATCTGCAAAACATTCTACCCTAACTCAAGTAGCAAAATATATGAATGTATATTATACCTATAAGTGAGATATGAAACCTAACTAAAAGATAGAAAAAGACATAATATACCTACAAACAAGACACATTAATCTGTAACAGGTTGACTACAAAAAAGAATCTGTCATATAGGTAGATAAATACAATTAACTTGTGATATATGTTGATTATAAAAATTAAAAAAAAAATCTATAAATGGGTTAAAACAGGAGGAAGAACAAGAAATAACAAAAAAATATATATAAAAAGAGATAATCAAAGAGATAATTAGGAAGAAATTTGATTTTTACAATAAGTTTTTTCTTTTAAGAGATAATTATTGATAATTAAATAATTAAATTTAAAGAATTAGACTTATTTTAATAAATTAGACCATTCCTACTATTGGCTCAAAAAATTGGAGTTATATCAAGTTTCCCCTATAATAATTATCAAAGACAATAATGTAGGGTCAAAAATTGTAATTTTGAGTAAATATATAAGGGTATTCTTGTCATTTAAAAATTTCATTAAATAGGCATTGATTACTATGCTTTGAAAAAAAGGAACTTTAACGAAAAACTTCTGGTACTGTTCACTTTAACGAAAAACCACATTTTTACACTAAAAATTCAATCCTGGTACTATTCACTTTACCCTTTATTTTGTTCTTATCGTTAAAACTCAAAGTTTTCAAACCATTTTCATTAGTTTTTCTTTGAAAAGAAACACTTTTTTAGAAGCATGACAAACCCTACTTTTGCTTTTCTACCGTCATTGACATCATAGTTTTAAGGAAACACTTTTTTTTTTTTGTCTAGATTAAGCTGCTTTTTTTAAAGCACCTTAATCTCGCTCAGTACTACAGTCTGGTGGTATTCCTCTTCATTTAGGAGTGAGAGGTATTCGGTTCGAATCTCGTGGATGATGAATTCGATACTAAATTAGACTGCTCATAATATGACTTAGCCGAACTCTTCCTCCCCTAATGTAAAAATATCGATGTATTTAAAAAAAAAAAAAAAAAAAAAGTACCATAATCTCAAACCCATGTTACTTAAGCAGATGGTGAGATGCACAACTCTCTTCTTTTAATGTCCTGAGGGTAATTAGTGCATGATAATTCATCGAAGGTGGAGTCTACTGTCACAATAATATACACCGGGAACCAAACTATCGTCGTTCCAATTGAATCGAAACTAATATTTATTGTTCGATTCTTACTTCATGTATCTCAAGGACATCCAACTTCTTGGGTCTCTTGTAGTTCTTCAACAACAAAGAGCAGCAAACGACGCTAACAGAGGAGGCTGCCATTGCAGCTCCAGCAATCCATGGCGGTAATCTAAACCTGGTGGATGGAAAAAGGGCTCCCGCAGCTACTGGGATTCCGAGCACATTATATCCCAACGCCCAGATATAGTTCAAACGAATGCGAGAGAAGGTTTTCCTGGAAAGGTCAATGGCTGTTATCACATCTTCCAAGTTGCTCTTCATAAGAACAATGTCAGCTGCTTCAATAGCAATATCTGTGCCAGCACCAATTGCCATTCCTACATCTGCTGCCACAAGTGCCGGTGAGTCGTTGATCCCATCTCCCACCATTGCAACAACGTATCCCTCAGCCTGTGAATAAGAACATGAAGCTTATTGTCTCCGCAAAATTCTAAGACCAGCTGCATCTTATTGTAAAATGAAATGTAGTATAATTAACGACTGTGAAAGTGCACGACTCACCTGCAAATCCTTCACTTTCTCAGCTTTATGTTCGGGTTTGGCTTTTGCGATCACGGTTTCAATTCAGTTTCCTTGGCAATGGAATTGGCTGTGCCCCAATTGTCACCTGTAACCATGATACTTTTAACTCCCATGGACTTGAGTATGGAAACGACTTCTTTGGCGCCGGGTTTCAGTGGATCGGATATGGCTACAACTCCTGCTACTTCCCTGTCTATAGCTATTAGAATCCCGGTTTGAGCTAATGCTTCAGCTTCTGCTAGTGTAGCTTCAGCCTCCACCGGAATGGCAATGTTAGAATCCAACATTAAACTCTCGTTGCCTACGATTATCTCCTTGTCCCGAACAACTGCCTTCAATCCTTGGCCAGTAATGGATGCAAAATTTTGTGCTTCGGGCCAGGAAGGATTGTCTTCACCTTCTCTGAATTTCTTGGCATACTCTACAATAGCCTTGGCTAGTGGATGCTCACTGTTGACCTAGTATACACAAATACATTGAAGAGCATCATCCTTCAAGGGGGGGAGTTTGTTTACCAAACTTCCGTTCGACAAAAATTGGAAGCGATATTGAAATGCCTACCTCAGTTGCTGCAACAAGTTCATAAAATTCATGACGGAGCATATTATTGAAGATTTTTGTGTTTACAACCACTGGTTTCCCAACTGTGAGAGTCCCCGTCTTGTCGAAAACAATGCAGTTCACCTGCAGTACTCATATTACAGATCCATGAGAACTAAAAATGTGGAAAGAGGTCCTCTAGTTTAATGACAAAGTGCTAGATGAATATCACTTGCTAACCTTATGTGCGCTCTCTAATGCTTGGCCCCCTTTGATCAGTATACCTTGAGATGCACCAACTCCGGTACCAACCATAACGGCAGTAGGAGTTGCAAGGCCTAAGGCACAAGGGCAAGCTATGACCATGACTGAGATCCCGAACTGAAGCGCAAGCTCAAAACTGTCGATAGAAGATGGTATCCAAGAATGTGGGTAGCTATGGAACTTCCCTGATAAAAACCAGGCAAGCCACGTCGAAAATGAAAGAATGATAACCTGCAAATTTAGCTTACAAACTACAAAGTTATGCACAAACATAATACTAATCGAAATGCTTTCCAAATAATTTCGGAAAGATTTATTATGACCGAAAATTCATGTCAAATTAGTTGGTTACCGTTGGCACAAAGTATTTCGAAATGCAATCAGCAAACTTCTGTACAGGAGCTTTGGCCATTTGCGCAGATTCAACAAGTCGAACAATCTGCGAAAGAGCACTC